ATCTTTACTGAGCTCATCCGCTCCATTGAGAGAAGCCGCTCTGAGCTGATACGGCTGATCAGAGATCAGGAGAAGACTGCAGTGAGTCGAGCTGAAGGACGACTGGAGCGACTGGAGCAGGAGATCAATGATCTGAGGAGGAGAGACGCTGAGCTGGAGCAGCTTTCACACACACAGGATCACATCCAGTTCCTGCAGGTAACAGAGATCTAGAAGAACAGGATCATAGGGGACTTGAGCAGATCCTGCTGTGACAGAGACTCACAGAGAAACATTTCATGAGTGTCTTATTATATAATCATCAGTCAGACTCTCATCTGATCATCTTCTTCTGAAAGAGACGCCGCTTACAAATGGCTTTCAGCTCTGGAAATCTCTTAGCAATCATTTCTCTGAGCTCTTTCTTCTGGAAGATATATTTAGCTGTCAAACACCACTAGCGCCACCAAGAGCTCAAAACTTCACTAACATTTCAACTTTAACCTCATTTCTCCTTCTGATTTATTACATCATGGTGAAATCAGTGAACTTGATAGTACAGATCCTGAGTAACGTTCATCAAAATTGGATCAGATGATCCTCAAACTGATAAAACTGATTTTTATTTGCCTGTAACACATTGATGAATTTGATCATGCCGCTTTAAAGTTATAAATAATGGTCAATCTAATCGTAGCCTTTTAGCTGCTTTTCCTGAGCAAATCTACTCAACCCTACAATGAGACTCCATTGATGTGCTTGAGCTGTTAGATTGGCATTTATGTTCTTAGCAGATGTTTTATCATCCAAACTAAACTATTTCCTAGAAAGTTCACATAGAGTGTAAGTGGCAAATATTAGAATCTGTAGCTCTAATGTGATTGAATGAATATGAGAAGTGTGTGTGGACGCTGTTTTTGGGAGATTGAGTGGAGTGGAGATTATGGTGTGTGTATATCAGTGTCATATAAGAGCATCAGCAGGAAGGGACGGGGTAATGAGTGTTGGTTTGGATGTAATGTTCAGTCCTGGAGTTTGATCTGCTCTTCCTCCAGTTACTCATTCAGTCACAATAACATACAGACTGATCTCTCTGTAGAGTCCATCAGCAGGAGAATAGGAGTGTTTGTGGATCACAGATACTGCAGCTGAACTTCTATCAGTGAAATAACATGTCAGAATAAATGTGTGTAATAAATACTCATATAGACAGTAAGATCAGTGTGTGTGTGAGTCCTGAGCCAGCCCAGGGCATAAGTGAACTAAGCAGCTGTTTACGGCCCCCGTGGCCACCAGGGGGCCCCCAAGAGTTCATGAAATGACAGCTTGATTTTTATTTTTTTATTTTATTAATATTATTAGTTTTTTGTGATTATATTATGTCAATAGTCAATGGTAATCATTCAAAAATAATCTATATATACGTATAATCTTATTAATTCTATAGCGACGCGTCATCCAGGCACAAAAGCGCTGTATGACAGGTCACTTTTATTTAGTTTTTTCTTTTTTATTCCAAATACCCAAAACTTGTTAACTATATCATAAACTAGCAATATGATATAGCCTATTCTGATTGTCAAATATGTGTAAATTATTATTTTTTTATTTGACATGTAAACAACCTTAATGATATGAGTTGATCAATAATGCACGCTGGACGCTGACACTGATCTGTCAGATTATCATCACGTAATTCACCCATTTCTCCTGAAATACATGAAAGTTAGTGGCCAGAACTGGGAGAAAAACAGAAAACTTTATAGTTACCTACACACTGTTTGATAGAAATAATACACATCGTCAAATTTTAATTGAAATAATTATTATTACCGTTTTCCATAGAAAACGGTGTGTTTTTAACGAACTATAAATGTCTTTTTTGCTGGTACTTAATTGAAATGTCTGTTTTAAGGTCTAAAGCCAAAAACAAACTTTATGTGGTTGAAAACACTGAGCAGTTGTGATATATGAAAAGCACTCAGTGCATCTGTCTCTGGCTCAGCGTCAGCCATCAAAGGGTTCAAATCGATTGTGTTTCGGGGGTTGAGGGGGGACAAAATGAAGCTGGGGGGCACAAATCAGATCTGAGGGGCAATCGGGCCTGGCTAGCTAGATAATTACAGCATAGCCTCGGTATCTTCTTGTTTTAGGGAAGTTCATGTTCAATTAAACATCCGTAAATAGCCTTGACATCTTCATATATTATAATAACATTTTACTTAGCTAGTTTTAGATTAAAGTTTTTGTCTTCTGAATAAAAATAACGTTCCTGGGTACATATATTTTGTAATAAAAATAAGATTCTGTTTCATAAACTTGCTACTGATAACAGCTTAACATTATTTACATTAGCCTACGTTTGGGGTCTTTGCTATTATATTCCAATATCATTATGCCTCAATTAGCTAGTTATAAATTAATAAGAGTTGTTGTTTTAGGTGTAGATAGCTTGCTGCTGTGTTTAATAATGTATGTTGTTAAAATAACATTCTGTTCTGTAAATGCATTGTCTGCTGGTTTATTTAGCTTCTTTTCAGTACACCACATTAAGTTTGCCACTTAGTACCGCAAGACTTTAAATATTAAAGTGCAAATGAACGCCTGACCACTCTTGTGGGTTAGCTACTGTTACAATTAAAAATCGCAGAAGGATAAAAACATGCCAGGCAGACACTGATATGATGCAAGCAACACGGCTAATAATCAAAATTGCTAAAAAAACAAAACTGATAATGGGTGTGTAAGATTTATAGTGTGAATAATCAAGTTTTGACAATAATCAATCGTATTGGTGGTAACGAGGGGCCCCTAAATAAAATTCTGCTTAGGGCCCCATAAAGGCTTGGGCCGGCCCTGCTGCTGAGTGACCATGTGTTTCTATGCTTTTATTTGTGTTGACTGAAATCAGTCATTTAGTTTTTATTGTAGTGTCACAATTTTTATTATTACTATCAAAAATACTTTTCAGTTCAAATGATCACACAGTCAATAAATGTAATCATTTTCTGGCCCTTTCCAGCATTTTGTGTTCTTCTGTCTGCCGGCGTCACGAGCCGCTGTTTTTTTTTGTCATACATTTAGCTGTTAATCTCAGAATTCATTTTTATTTTTATTTTATTTTTATTATAACTCAAGCATCACAATATGAACTCAGCACACATTTATCCATGTGTCAACATTAAGTAGCAAAACTGATGACACACTGGTCAGAATCTCAGGATGATATGAACAATAGCACAGGTGATTATGTGTTTTGGAAAATGAATACTAGTGGTGCGAAACAAAGAAGAAGAGGAGAGGAAAAGAAAAATGAAGGGGATCAGGTCAAAGGTCATTTGTTCCTGATGAAATACAAAGCACTATAGTTGATCATGTTCTTGTGCAGGAATGAGCATGAAGGCCTACAGGCTCAGCTACAGGCTTTTTATACTATGTACAGTATAATTACAGTACACAGTAGCAGTACTTCAGATGAGAGAACATATTCTATGTACTGATTTGTAGCCAAGTACTTCTTCCATGTGCTGTATTTGTGCAGAACTGAGAGACGACTGTTAGTGGAGGCAGAGAAAGTCTTTTGTCAGAAGACTAGTGCCTTGTTCAGACTGTCAGTCCAAATCAGATTAGTTGTGTATCCGATTGGAATCTGATTTAAATGATTGACTGTCCACAATGTGAATCACAGATGTTCAGATCTGATTTGTGTGTCTCGTGCTGCTCTTTCCTTTTAATGACAATCTGCATTGGTTTCTATGGCAACGGTATTGTGTTGGTATGTCTACACTAAAAACAACAATAACAGCAATACAGATGTTCTTACAACATGACAACATGTTGCGGTCTCTCTGGATTAGATTGCGTCTCATGAGGCAGCGGCAGAATCGTAGAAAGCTGGAATACGTGGCTTTATTCCTGCTGCTGTCTCTTAAAACTCAAAGAGGTGTGTAGAGCAGCAGTTTATTGTAATTTTCTGTTTGACTCGCACTTCACAACAACACAACCTTGTTTCTGCAGAGACATTCAGCATGTTTTCTACAAACAACGTCTCACGTGTTTATGTTTTACGTGACGTGAGAAAGTGACATGGGCAAAAAACTACATTAAATCCGATCTGAGTGGTCCGACTTAAACGGATTTCCAGAAATGAGATTTTAATAGGATTTCAAAACCTATATGAATGTAGCTTAAAACTGATTTGTAAAAATCGGATTTTATGTGATTTTTTTTGCCATTCACATTTAATAAATAAGATTGGATTCCAATTGGATATGTACAAAAATCAGATTTGGACTGACAGTCTGAACAAGGCTTAAATCATCTTAGACGAACGTACAAGCAGAATGTTTCAGGGAAACTTTCCATGAACAATTTATAAATAATGTTTTTGTGCTAATGTTTTGAGAACATTATTAACCGTAAACAGGGTTTGAGAGGCTGTGAAACTGCAGGTCTCATTTCTTGGTTTCATGTTGAAATGGTGTTTGATGTGAATATTTAGATCTGGTGACTTCATTTGTACATTCTTTGTTTCGTTTTGTACATTAATTTTGTGTCCCGTTTGCTCCCTCAATTCAAATTCATTAATTATTTTGTTATTTAAAGGCGTTCTGCACTTGTTTTATAGTTGACATATAACTTGATATGTAAAAGGGCACATAATAATAATTTCTTTACTGATCGGAGTGTCTTTTTTTGTTCTTTCGTTATTCTAACTTTTCAACGAGTGTGATGGAAGAAGATAGGCCTGTTCAGGTGCCATGCATTCTTCCACAAGGAAATATCTGGAGGCCACGTTCAAGGGGAATGACGCATCGAATACATCTGTATCCAGAGCTCCCTTTCCTGAAAATTACTAATCCCCAGATGGCCTTGTAGAACTTCTCCACCGGCCTTAATTGCTTCGGCCACCACGGGGTCCAAGCCAAGCGCCTTTCCATGCTTTAACGATTGTACGGCAGCTCGCACCTTGTCTGCCAACGGTTCATCGTTGAGCACTGGCACTGCAGGTGGATCGACACATGGCGGCTCTGCGGGCCAAGGCCAGTCAGAATTGGTCCCTGATCACAGGGTTGCTGAGATGCATCCAGTCCGGATTCACTGGTGATGTCGCTTTATTCCTTGCCCGCTGTTGCTGCGATTAGCCACTGACGAGATAATGGTCGGAGCCGCAGGTGAATTGCCCGCACATCCTTGAGTGATGACCAAAATCTGCGGTTGATTAGGAAGTAATCAAAGACGGCAGAATCTGCTGGTGCCTTCGGGGGTGCCGGAATAGAGTATTGCCCACCACAGGGTTATTGGCAAACGCAAACAACAGTATGTGCAAATCATTGTCATTGATCCCAACGACTCCAAAATTGCCCAACGTCTTCTCCCAGCTGTCTCTATCCGTGCCAACATGCTCGTTGAAATCACCTGCCAGGATGATCAATTCAGTCTGAGGGATCGAATCTAACATGCATTGCAGTTGCTCATAGAATTCATCCTTGGCCTCATCCAGGCTGGTTTCAGTCAGGGAGTACACGGAGAGTATGTGCATCTTGATGGTGCTGTCTTCTCTCCACCAGAGTAGAACAGCGTCGACGTGTCTTGGGTTGTTGAGTTTTGAATGGTTTGAGCTCTGCTTCTGATGAGTAATAGTTTGGACTGGGCGGCGTTTGAGATCTTGGTCGCTGACAGCTCCTTCATGATAACTTCTATTTGGACGATGTAGTGACTGGTCCTGATGTTCCAAGCTGCAAGGCGCAGTTCCATTTCCGGTGTGATGATCCTTCTTTCTAATCAGCCTCACCATGCACTGCATTACACTGTTACTGTGTGTGTGTGTGTGTGTGTGTGTGTGTGTGTGTGTGTAATCTTTTTATACATTTGTAACCCTCCAGCAGAGTAGTCTGCCTCAGGACTGTGTTCATTTCTCTTCATATTGTCCAAATTGCAAATCACAGTATCCAGAAGGCAGCTGATAAGAGCTCATATCCTAATCAATCAGCATGTGTCCCTGCTCTGTCTTTATTCCCTCCAAATGAAGAGCGCTAGGAATTGCCATGGCGATGAGCGCTCGTATGACCCGCCCGTTCTGTGTCGTATTGACTTTTGTTCTCGGCTGGTGAATACATCTCCATTTCCATTTCCTGAGGGCCCCGCTCGCCTACGTT